TCTTACACTCGTGTTTGATGCGACGGAAGGAGGACACTTAAACCACAACTGGCTGTGCGGTATATGCGGCTGGAAGTTGAAGGTGTTCCTCCCCGTGGACAGCAGTAATACACACTAGGAGGAAGGCAGTGGAGCATAGCACAGCCTAGTTTACAGCAGCTCAGGGCAAACGATTCTTCCAAGGTGATTGGACGGCCAGGTACATTGAGCATGTCTATAAAAGCTGCATTCAGGGCAAGGATATGACTGCACTCATAAAGTCCTAATGACCCCCCATCTCCTTCTCTTTCTTCCTCTCTGCGTCGCTTTCCTCCTCCATCCCCACCCCCTCCCCTCCTCCCGTCACCCTGTCTTCCTCTCTGCAGCCCTCATACTGCAGCAATAACCCCCCAGAGAGCAGCGTGAGTCAGACAGAGACGTACAGCTGTAACACCGTCACCCCCGGGATTTCTCATTATCGTCACCGTCGCTGTTGTTTTATATAACTAGGTACAAGTGGCAGGAGTTGGGGCACTTTGTCACAGAGGTGCTGTTTCTTACGTTCACTGAACATGAAGTCGGAGGCGATGTCGAAGGGCTGGATCTGGATGTCGTACATGGAGACGGTGATGCCCTTCTGGTGGTCGCTGGAGATGAGGGTGAGGGTCTGCTGGGCCGTGCACACGTAGGAGCGCCCAGCGGGGGTCACCAGGGCCGAGAGGCGGTGGGTGCTGGCTGTGTGCTTCCCAGCTGGAAGGGAAGGGAAGCAGGGAGGAGGTGTGAAGGAAGGCATCATGTTGGGACTAGTTTGAAAGTGCTTGTGTGTGTCTTATGGGTAATTAACCTCCACCTTAATCAAATTTAACAATGTAGGGTAATTTATAGGGTGGAGTTTAAGTGGATCCAGAAACAAGAAAATGTTAGAAAACATCCTGCAAAAATAGAATCAAACTAAATTATGACCAAAAACACACAGGAAGTACCTTAAATATCATGATTCACTTTATGATTTGGTGAGTTTATTTGAAGAAATCTTATTTATGTGCCTGAATTTTTAATTTTAGCTCATAATCATAATCACTTGCAAATATTTCACTTAGCTGCAGCTAAAAGAAGCAGAAAAAAAAATCTGTAATAATTTGCGTAAAATTGAAAATTCATACAAGTGGGCGACACTCATAAATCCCTGCGTCAATCAGCCCTTTAATTCCAGCTGATTGCTGATGTTGCGATGGAGGCAGGCGGGATGGAAATGTGCTGAGTGGCTACGTGTACTGTACACAGGCTCGACGGGCGGCGGGAGACTCACGGTTGTACGCGTTGATGAAATGCGATGTCTCCGAGGTGTCGTAGACGAACTGGACCCTGCTAATCTTCCACACCTCGATGCCCTTGTCACGGAACTCCTGCAACACGCAGAGAGACACACACACACACAAGCGTCAACCCGGATTGTGCGTGGAGGAGGCGATTTGGCCTGCAGTCAGCAGAAACCACCGGCTTGTCAGGTGTCTTAAGAGTCCTGTTCAGTGTGGAGATGTTTGGAAAATTAATTTGTTTTGACGATAAGTGTTGTAGTTCTAAAATATTCTCCTTTAGCTGATAAAAAAAATATCAGAATTTGACATTAATTTAGTCAAGATATGTCATCTATAGCACAGCAAAACTGTGAAAACGTATATTTTGTGTTGCATGGCCGTAGAGAATTTAGACTTTTTAAAAAAAAAAAAAAATGTTTTTATTGCATTTGATGATAAATCGGTACAGATGCATTGTTTCCGGTTACTCGCCCACCTTAGAGAAGTAAATGCGGAGCGTGTAGGCGTTGTTCTTCCAGGAGATGTGGATCTCTGACTCGGTGCTCCCACATTTCCCCTCAATTTCTGCATTCCGGGGCAGAGTGAAGGGCGCCTGCTCCGTGATCAGCTGCAGACAGAGACGGCAAGCATGTGAACAAAGTTGACATATTACGCACGGGATTGTTAGTTGTTCTTGCGCGATGGAGCAGAGTTTTTACGCGCCAGCTTACAGTGTGACTAAATACATGAATTATGCATGACTGAATTATTTAGATGCATCGACAGTACGAGCCGGTGATCCGTGTTAATTAATCAGAGAAGTTTGATAACGAACGTTCTTTGTAACGGGGCGCATTATGAGGCGTCAGCATTTTACGCACCACTGCGAACCACAACTGCAGACTTCAAATACATCATAAATGACTCCAAAGTAGATGTTTCTTGTTAATAAGCGTGAAAACGATCAATTTAAATATCATCAGTGTAGAGTCTCAGTCATCCAGGTCATGGTAATCCTTGGAGCTTCAATAGAAATCAACTGGATCACCTCTCATCCAAGAGGCTTCTTCAGTTCGGAAACGTCTCCAAGGACCTACAAGAGAAGTCCAGTGAGTTTCTACTGAAGCTCCTAGGATGATCGATTTAAATATATTTCATATAATTATCATATGTATTTCTTTGTTTTACATATTAAGCCATCTGTTTTCGGTGCTTCAGTCGGTTTTACGCACGACGGTTTGGTCCAAATATGCGCATTTTTACGCAGCCGAGTTTCATTTTTTTTTAAGCCTTCTCGTGTATTAAAATGCACGAGGGGATTCCTTACGTCTATCCCGTTGAGCGCGAGCACGTCATATGGCACGAGGAATCTCACGGCGAACTCCACCATCAGGCATGTCGTGCCGTTCTCCCGGACCGCGAAGATCGCTTTGTCCGGGTTGTTGGAGAGCCCGGACAGGTTCTCCCCCTCCTGCTCCGCCAGCACCACGGACAGCGCCAGCAGCACACCTGACAAACAGAACAGAGCAGAACGGATGAGAACAGGGTCCACATGAGAAGTGGAAGGTGAGGCTGTTAATGCACAAGCACGCACACACCCCAGCAGCAAAACATGCAGCATCAGCACAAACCGAGTCAAGAGTTTAGCTGAAGGTCCCCTCACATCTTTAGATCACTGGGCTCCATCACCTCTGTTTCCTCACGGCAAAGTCAGAATCAGGTTAAAACACCAGAGACTGAAATCTGCAGTATCGGGGGAGCAACAGCACGCTGACGTCTGCGTCCAAACACCGGCACAAAGTCACCAGCCGCAACTCTGATCGCGTTCCAGCGACTTTCTTTATTACATGAGGTGAAGATCAGAGCTGAAATATGCCAACTCATGGAATTATATCAACACGCACACACACGCCTCTGTAATGCCAGTTGGTGCACACGCATGCACGCGCACGCACGTACACACACTGCAGTGAAGGAGTCACGACAACAGCGCGCACACGCTTCCTTACCGAACACACTGAGCGGTAAAAGTCGGGCGCTCTCCGTGGTGCTGAAACCGAGTCGTCCCATCGCTGTCGGCTTTCCCCGGCGCTGAAAACAGGGGCTCAGTGACTGGGCAGCCTGTGCTGAACCCGCGAAAAGAAAAGAGAGAAAGAAAAGGCAGGCAAGGGAGGGGAGGCGGGAGAGAAAGGAAGGAAGGAAGGAGGGAAGGAAGGAAGGGGGGAAGAGAGAGAGAGAGCGAGAGAGAGCGAGAGAGGAGGATCGCCTCTACTCAGCGCCAAGAAGTCACGCTCAGATCATCGTGAATGCAGCAAAAAAAAAAAAAAAAGAAAGTCTCCAGGTTGGACGTGAGATCCGGTTTGCTGCTGCAGAAGCGGCACCGAGGAGTTCTGGCCGTCCGAACCGACCTCCCTCTTCAAGGTTGGCAGGTTTAACCCAGAGACAGCTGCAAGACCGAAGTGCTCCTGCACATCATCAGCGTCACGAGAGAACGCTGCCGCTTGAGAGAAAAAAAGTCAGGATGTATCTCCTGTAGTGGACTCGGCGTGCAGTTATTCCCGCAATGCTGTAGTCTCCATCTCGGTGGCAGCAGCTGCAGGTTGAAATGATGTATGTCTGGAGGGAAACGCCGACAACTCCTCCCTCCTCCCTCCTCCCTCCCTCCCTCCCTCTGTCCAACTCCACTTCTGCAAGGTTGCAGCTGAGAGTGTGAGAGAGCTGCAAAAACACACTTTATCTTACAGTGAGATTTAAATGTCAGTGATGAAGCCAGACTTTGTAGCATTTACAAATAAACTTGTCTTGCTTGATAAAGAAGAAATCTCTTAAGAAGACATTAAGAAACATCTGAGAAGTGAAGCTGACGTTAAAATCTATATATATATATATATGCATCATACTAAAGTAAGTGCTTGTTGATATTTTTAAAATGCATCAAAGCATGAGCTATTGTAAGATTGCAGATGCACCACAAAGGACAGTGACCCTATAAAGAAAACATCTGCTCTACAATAATGACCCTCCATGAGCTCTTATCTGTCTCTTTGTGTCTTAAACACACCCAACACACAACTCCATTGTTTTGTATTTCTGATTTTATTCACTTCTAACTGAATGCGGTCAACAGAAATCTACACAGACATAGGAGATAGTTTTGCACATGAACGTTAGGTCATTTATTGCACATCACCTCTCCACCTCCCACGAACACCCCACCCCTTTCCAAAAGGAGTGGCAAATACCGCTGAACGCAGCAGCATCCATATATACAGCAACTACAGCAGAAGTTCATCTTGTAGCTGCGGCGTCCAGCTGGCAGGTGCTGCTGCGTTTTTACGCGCAGTTTATTCAAAGTAACTTTGTACTGATTGCAGTTGATGATTTTTCCAGCTGTTTACTGGTAGTTAAAATATTCCTTTTGACGCCCTCTTTCTCCGGCTGGCAGCATCTGGATGTAAAATGGCTCAAACTTTTACGCCACTTTGGTCAACTCCGAGAACAGGAGAGCTGGACACTTTCTGGATGATCTGGTCACTTAAATATACGGTATTTGAGTTTTAAAGCTAAAAGCGATGGCAGGATACAGGAGGGAGGTGAATTTAGGAAGGCAGCGTTGTGTAGTCAGATGTTCTCTCTGTTGGAACCAAGTGTAGAAGTAACGTGGTCCTCGGTAGCAGCGGATAAGTGTAGGTAGACGTTTTTACGCGCGGCCCCCTGCGGCTTTTACGAGTTTGTTTTTCTGGAATTAAAGTCAAACTCGCATTTCACGGAGCTGATGCTGTCCACGCTGGGTTTACTGTCCACCTGGGGATGCCTCGTGCTCTGGGGGAACGTCTCTGACAGCGGAATGCGCCCCGGATCCTCCTCCAGCTCCTTTTTAAACTCCGGGGATGTAAATCGGCGCAAGAGTTTGTTGCTCAACACGGAGAACGTGGTGGCTGCAGAGGCGGCAGCTGGTGCGGTGACCTGAAGAGAGTCCGCTTTGTTTGGAGACGCGTCGCGCCTCCTCACGGTTCTGGATTTACGCGGTGGCACCAGAGTGCGCTCCAGAGGTGCAGGGCTGAGCATACTGGTTGGCAAACTGCATCTTTTCTGATAGTAGCTGGCGTGAAATGCGCGCTCACCGAAGTCCGGCATTTTCGGTTTCTCTGCTCCCAACTCGGTGTCAGTTTTTCTGGCCAGAAGTGGAGTCAGTAAGACGCTGAGGGCGGAGGGTGCAGAGGGGGAGCTGGGTTTGTTTGTGTTCCTGTTCGGCTGGGGCGAAAAGAAGACGGATTTCTGAGCCTCGCAGCTCTGTGTTAGAGGAGGGAGGTGATCAGCTGAGTTTGGTTTTGAATGCTTAGAGTTGGGAGGATGGTTGTAAGTCAGGGGGGGAGGCGCAGGAGTGGAGGCTCCAGAGAGAACCTGATCCTGTGGAGGTGAGGAGGAACCTTCGTTCTCTGCTTCAAACTCCTCTATAGAGTCCATGGAAGGCCGCGGCTGCCAGTTTTGAACCGGCGGCTGGTTACGCGTTTGGAGAGCCTCGAGTTTGTTCGCTAAGTTTCCAACTTTACTTTCAAACTCATCTTCCAAACTTGTTCCCGGTGTCGTGTTTCCCTGCGCGCCTCCGTCAGCCTCTCGGCTCTTCTTGGGATTGTGAGTGAGCGCAGAAATACAGTCGGTGTGTCCGAGAAACTTCGCCACTTCAATAGCTGAGTTTCCAACTTTGTTTTGTCTGTCTATCTGGAGCCCCAGCCGCTTGAACGCTCTCACCAAAAACTCCACCACCGGGGAGTGACCTGCTACGGCCGCGTACATCAGCGCCGTGTTCCCCCACGAGTCCACGATCTCCGGGTCCGCGTTGTTCCGAACCAGGATCTTCACCGCGTCCAGGTAGCCTTTCTCGCAGGCGTAGCTGAGCGCGGTTCGGCCGGTTCCGTCCTGACAGTTCACACTGGCTCCTCTCTGCAGCAGCAGCTCCGCAAACTTACACCGAGTCCGGCCGTCCGGCAGCAGGACGGAGGAGATGAGGGGCGTCTGTGCGCTCTCCGTTTTGGAGTCCACGATTTCTCCATCCAGCGCGTCCAGGACAAACCTGGCCAGGTGGACTTTATCTTTGGACATCGCCTCCAGGAGGATCTCGGTGCCCGTCTGTCCGCTAGACTTCCCTGGAGCCTTGAGCATGTTTGTGATGCAGATCAGTAATCTATCCAAGAAGTGTCATCTCTCCGGTAGCTGGATCAGGTTCCCCTGGAACAGCTGCTGACAAACAAACCCGCCATGCTGCTTATATAGTGGAGGGGAAGCGGCGGAGTTGCCGGGCAACGCAGACATAATTACGGCGCTTTGTTCGTCTTTCTAATGGAAATACTTCGCTTATAATAACAATAAAGAGCTTCTGCGGCCTGTGTTCAAGAGGGGATCTGGTTTATAAATGCAGCCGCACTTGTTGAATGTGATGAGACAGCAGTGGTCATTATTTAGAAAATCTGTGTGTGTGTGTGTGTGTGTGTGTGTGTGTGTCTGTGTGTGTGTGTCTGTGTGTGTCTGTGTGTGTGTGTGTTACTGACAATAAATGAGGCCTCCAGTGACCCGAGGCCACATGGGAGTAGGTTTCAGGTGGGATGCAGGAGATCCTCCCTGTAATCTCTACAACACATGCGTCTCCCTCCCCAATAAAAAGCAGACAGAAGCAGAGAACTTTTATTTGGGAAGAAATGTGCCTGAATTATGTGTCTTTCTTTACATAAATAGACATTTCCATCAGAAATCGATGCAAAAACAGCACAAGTCTCATAAAAACATGCGTCCATAGCATTGCAGACATTGTCAGAGCACGATGCTCAGAAGTCGAGGGGATCAACAATGATCCACATTGCTAGAGATTTTCAAGTAGAGCTGGACGATGCAGCTTAAGGATTTGTCACAATCAGATGTTTCATGTCAGTCAATATCGATACCTACTGAATATTTTGAAGACCAACAAAAACAGGCTGTGAATACCTGTGAAGCTTCAGCCTCTACGCTGTTAAAAAAGCTGTGAAAATCTAAAAACAAAGAAAACCACATTAATAAACA